TATACAAAAATTATATACATAAAATACATTTTGAATTAAAGTGATACTTGATATACAGAGCATTAAAGATGTATAAATCAATACATCTTGATTTAGGTGGCATTCAAATATGCATCAGATTTTCAGAAAATGGAGTGAAGAAGATGAATGTTATAAAGGGAGAATGGAGATGGAAAAAAAAAATACTTCCCGTGATTAGTGAGTCAGTTAACTTATTAGATGCTACGCTTAATTTTTATAATGTACTATTAATGTATAAAAAAAGTGCTCTTTATGAAATAAACAATGAATGGTGCTATTTTTATAAATAATAGTTAAAAAGGGATCAAGTGTGTAAAAAACTCTAGATATTATATGGCTTATTCGTTGGAAAAAAAAAAGACTGCTTCATTGGTTTTTCATATCACTGAAATTGGTGAGTTCAAGGTGTTAGTTTAATTGTTGTTGGTTGGACTTAGGTTGATTTCTATGTGTGTTTGCTATGGCTAAGAGGTGTATTCCCGGTGTTTAAAATTGTTAATAATGTGTATTAGACCCTCAGTGGGAAAACTTAGCAATGCATTGTCTGGTGGTAAATAGAAAGAAAGGGAATAATGCATGCTATCACTGTAATATTTTCCTAACAGTGCTCGCTGGTATAGTCACCGGAATTCCCTGGAACCTTAGAGCACATCTCCTCAGTGAGACAAAGACCGAAACAAATCACTGCCAAACATCAATGGTTTCAGTCATATAACTTTTGTGTCACCACTAGAAAAAATGTGAGACGATGGATTTATGCTTTTTCATTCAGACACTAGTTTATGCCTTCACTATGTTATTTTGTCAAACTAGACACCACAACCACAGCCAAGGGCATCAAACATGTTTGAAATTCTTAAAGTACTTCCCTCGTCTGTTGCCTATTGACACTGCCCAGTCGCCAAGTATTTTCATTTTTCTTCCACTTGATATTTTCTACTTTATTATTTGTTAGTAAATAGTAAGCTGAAGAAATTAAGAAATTTCTAGGTTTATTTTATCTGAACTCTTGGTTGAAATTATCTTATTTCTGTGTAGTTGAAACAAAATCTCTTATCACTTTTCCTTTCCTATCTAGGCCCTGGAAATTCACTTTGAAGAGGAAATTTTTATGAACATCCTCAGCAGGCTACCCGTGCAGTCTCTTGTTCAATTGAAATGTGTGTCAAAATTTTGGAAGACATTTATATCTGATCCTTACTTTAAGATGAAGTATCTCAGTCATGCCTGACCCAAATTCCCAAAAACTTCTTGTTAGCCTAAAGTTGCTTTATAAACGTGGTATGTATACCTTCTGTTGTTCTTTATCGTCGGCTCAACTGGTTGAGGATGTACAAAAACTTGCTTGCCCTTTAAACTTCAAACCATTCAGTTGCAGAGTGTATTGTTGTTGCAACGGTCTGTTTCTTCTTGGTGTTTATGTTGAATTTGATCAGCAGTTTTTGCTGTAGAACCCCTCCACAACAGAATCAATAGTACTTCCTTGTCCAGAGTATTTGAGAAGATCTTGTACTTATGGATTAGGATATGACGTAACTGGTAATGACTATAAGATCCTTAAGATTGATGCGATGGAACTCGATGAAGACAAAGTGCCCTATGAAGTTCTTGAGTTGAAAAGTGGTTCTTGGAGAAATATTGGTTATCATCCAACTGGAAATATCCTTATGACGGCTCCTTGGGCACCTATTTTGTATCCTTTGGCATTTATACACGGAGCATTCCATTGGCTTGGTTCGTCACTAGGTATTACTCGGTCAGCTTATTGTTGTTCTGTGGTGTCATTTACTCTTTCAAATGAGGTGTACGGAGAGATTCCCGTGCTAGAGCGAATGTGCTATATATCCAACCTCGGGTTCGACCAGCTTGGCATTTCAGTATTGAGAGAAATGATTTGTTTTCATTATACTTATAATCATCAGGGGGAGGGTACTTTTAAGTTATGGGTCATGAAAGATTATGGCGTCAAAGAATCTTGGACTGAATTGTTGACAATACATGATACTAGTCTTTTTTCAGTCAGACCAAAATACATGTTTGCGAATGGTGAAGTTTTACTGTGTTGTGGATATTCGCAGCATTGTGGTACGATATTTAGGACATCCACAGGACCATTTGGATTATGGCCTCAACATGATGATACCATTCAGGAAGGATTTGCATATACAGAGAGCTTGATCTCTCCTAAAATGCTTACTTAGTATTTGTTTATGTATGAATGAGAACCTTTTTTTTTTTGCGGAAATCATGTAACATCTTTCCTTGAGCCGAGGGTTTATCGGAAACAGCTTCTCTAGTCTGCTTTCGAGGTAGGCGGTAAGATCCGCGTACGCACTGCCCTCCCCAGACCTTACTTGTGCGATTATACTGGGTTTTGTTGTTATTGTTGCCGGAAATAATGTAAAAACTTATTTTGACAAATTTATCTATTGCTTTCTATTTTCGCTTTCAAGATGTATTCACCAGAGCTATCAGCTTTCTTAATTCATGTTAAGAAGAGACATGAGCCATTTCTTTGCTACGAAAGAAGTGATTGAAACCCCATCTTTTACCTATTTTTTTCTTGTCCAACTGTGTATACTAACTGCTATGAGTAATGCATTTTTTTTTCAGCTGTAGTTAAGTGCAACTGTTCCTAGCTAGATGAAACTTATAAATTGCTGTAGTTGCGTTGAGAAAATAAAATCAGGACCGAAACTATCGCAACAATCGTAGTATTTGATTTCAAATATTTGAGTGTTACAATCTTTGTGAATCCTCTGATTCTTCTTTTCGATAATAAATAAATTCAAGGGCCTTTGAGCTTGATCTTGAATATGTAGTTGTTGCCACGAACGATGATCTTGAATTCAATTAGCACGAACTTTGATTTGAACTCGTACTCCTTGAACCTTGATTTGTTCTTGATTTCTTGAACTTGAACTTGATTGCATGAAGCTTGAAACTTGTAGAGAAATTTGCGGCATTTGATCCACGAGTTCTCTCTTGCTTCTTGTTATAACTTCTGGTCTCTTTTCTGAGTTATGAAGACCCTTATTTATAGTTGTGGAAGGGAAGAGTTATGATAAGTACAAACTCTTTCCGACCAATCAAATGGAAGTGTGACAAGGCCGCATTTGATTGGCCAGAACATGTCAGTTGCACACGTGACGTGATTTCATTAGCCTTTTGATATGACTTGGCATGCCTTATCATTTTGACACGTAGCATGATCCTATTGGCTTTTCCATTTGACTTGACGCGCCTCGTCATTTGGCACGTGGCACCAACCTGGACCTCTAGGAAGATGGCATCTTGAGCTCAACGAAGTGGGCTTATCACTTGTAGCCCAACTAAATGGACTAGCCTAATGAATTAAAACTTATTTATTTAACCCATATATATTGGACTTATGTATATAATTTTATTATATTAGCCCATAAAATTTATTTAAACCAATAAAATCCAAATTATTTTATAAATTTAATTTTAATAAAATTCATATGCCTACAATTGCATTCAGGAAATGTGAGTATACGGCGGATTTCAGCTTTTGCACCAAATTCCTTTAAGGGATATGTGTAATGAAAAAAAAAACAAAATAAATATTATACGTGAATGGCATTTGATTTCCATCCTTATTATAATTAAGGAATGGAAAGAAATACAAAATTAATAGTTCTATTAAACTATAATCCATGAAGGGATTGCAGAGTAACAAAGCATTTGAAGATTTTTCCAAAAGTGAAAGACTAGAGAGTTTATTCCCTCCTCATGGAAATATTATAATTAATAGGTGAAAGAACTAATTAAGGAGTAAAGAGTTACGTAAGGTATGGAGCGAAAATCAAATTAAAAATAAAGATAAATAAAAGGATTTAATTTATTATAGATTTGTGAAATTGTCATCTTTAATTTCCTTGGTTTGGTGCTTATCGAATTTCTGAATTTAAACGCACACATACACATCAACACCTACTACAAAAATGATGCCCTTTTAGTTATTGTTGTGTTAGTCTAAACTCTATTCAATATAAATTATTAGGCAAAAATTGTACTTGCAGAAAAATGTGCCGTTTTAAACATTATTACAACCAGTTTAATTATCAACAAAAACACCATTACTTAATTATAAAGGACACAGTAACATTTAAACAAACAACAAAATCATTAATTTTCAAGACAATTTTGAGCATATTGGAAATTTATTAGAGCTATACATATTCGCTGGTTGTTTGATTGGAATACAAGATTCTAATTGAAACAACATTCCTTATTTGATACAAAAACCAAAGAAAAAAGGAACAAATTGTAGCAAGTAAAGATAACAACAACTATCTTATCACAATTCACCCACTCAACAAAATTATCCAAAGATTTATTAATTAAAAAGAACTTTCATAATTTAGCTTGTGACCACATTTGAATTCTGATGTCACTTTCTTACATAATTCTGGGTTCCATTAAACCAAATAGATGTAATTCGTCAATCAATTACGACCCCTTTGAATATTTAATAGCTATATTAATTTAAACATTTTAATCAGTAAATGCTTTGAATATTTAGACAGCAAATATCTGTATTGTCTTGTACTTAATCTTTTTCCTTTCTCCCTGTACCGTCAAAAGTTGTGGTAAAATAATAGGTATTCCTTCATTTTGAGAAGAGTCGTCTTTTATAGGAAACGGTTTATTTTTTTCGATATAACCAAATTAATGGATTTTCAAAGTTGCATTGGTCAAAATTTGAACTGAACTTAACAACTGTAAATGGATGTGGTCGAAGATTAAGCCGACCATGGCGCAATGGCGAGGAGTCTTCTTAAGAAGGATTAGTGCCGAGGTCGATTACAGAATGTACGAAAGTAACAGTAGAATGAGTTTAGAATAGAAAGAAGGAATATTCCGTTGGATATTCCTTCAGTCATACATTTTAGGATTTCTTAGGAATATCCCCTATAAATAGGAAGAGATAAAAAACAAAAAAGGATCTTCACTTTTTGATAAGAACACATTATAAAAGTTTGACTACAAAGAATATACGAAGCTTGTCTTGTCCACTGATCCAATGATCTCTTGCCCACCTTTATTTTATATTATACAAAGTTGTTGTCAGGAAGGAGAATCATACACGTCATCTAATATTTAGGTGACAAGTTTCTTCTTATTTCATTTATTGTCATTACCTACATTCATTGCTTACCGTGAGCACTCTTAATCAGCACTCAATGTTATCGGATACGATCCTACATCATTAATATATTAAACCTTCAAATCTAATAGTTACTATATTTAACTAAGATTTACTCCCTATTTTTTATTTATTTATTTTTAAAAAGATCTAACACTTTTTTGGTAAAACAAAAACGAATACTAAACACAAAATGGGAAAAAAAAAATTATTCAAAGAAGTAGGCGAAAGGAGTCTTCCCTTTGTCGTCTTGCCAAAACATAATGTATAGCTAGAAAATTGCCACCATATATGGCAAGTGTCATCCAACTAGCACAAGCTTCATATAGTAGTAGTTTATCTTTTCTTCTTTCATTTTATATCTTCATTCGATTAGATTATTCATACTTAAAAGCAAAGATGAGGGAATTAATCTTTCAATAAATAGTTTTGATTCCTCAATTTTTTTTTATACTTTTAAGCCACTTCAGTTTGAACCCCTTTTCAATTTTGTGTCATCAACAGCTCATTTTCTTGGTTTTTTTTATCCATGATTTGTTATTAAGCTACCAAAAACCAATGTTTTAAGGAGTGTTTAATGCTTAAGCAAATGTTTAGTCTTAAGTAAGTGCTTTCATCAACATTTTTTGGAGTTTTTTGTGAGGAAAACATCACATCGTTAAATTTGTCGTTACATAACGACGAAATGTGCTACTTTATGTAACGATCGATTTGGTGTGGTCGCGTCGTTACCTTGCCTTTTTCTCTCAATCTCACCCTTCATTATTATTAAATAATTTTATTTTATTATTGATCCTACCTTTTTATATAATAATTTTATCCTGTATCATATTTTTTCTTTATAATATTATAAATTTATTCTTCATATTGCTGGTGCATGCTATCATGAAACAATGACAAATGACACAATCTATTCAAACATTGTATCTATCAATCGATATAATACAATACAGTACGATGCATGAAGAAACCCGTGTTTTGTTCTCAAGGCTCACATCCATGACGTATTATCATTAATTTATTATTATTATTATTATTATTATTATTATTATTATTATTATTATTATTATTATAATATTAAGTAAGGGCTAGTTAGCTAGATATGAGAATTGGTCACCTACTACTTCTCTGCTGATTAAGGAAAGCTTTACTAGGCAGATTCTCCATATAAGGGTAGGAGAGCTTAACTTTTGTTATCTAGCTACCATTTGTCTTTCTCATTTTACTTTGACTATATATTTAATAAAATGCCACCTAGCTATCTCCATTTCTTTTTCTTTTTTTTTGTTTTTGTTTCTTTAATAGACAACCTTCATCAATATTTCATAACTAAACCATAAAATTAATTATAGAAACGTCAAGAATTGGTCTATTGATATTTTTAAGGTGATGGAGTTGTTAAAAGAGAAGAAATTTGTTGGAATATGTCAAGAGTATATATATATAAATTTAGAGAATGGCTAAGCCGGCTGAGCCGGCTCTTAAAATATATGTTTGTTATATTTACTAGAGTTTGCTTCATATATAGCAAAAGAAGTCCTCTTCTTAAATCCACTCTTTGCGGCCAAATTTCCTTATAAGTAATGGACTCTTTTCATTTTCCTACATTTTATACAAAGTAGTCCCATATTATTCACCACTTAATTGTTAATATTCTCTTTGGCCTTCTTCTTTCATACTTTGTGTTCCTTTGCAATAGCAAGAAAGCTATAATAGAATTTAAAGACAGAAAAGTTAAGAAGAAAAAATGGCAGGATTTGATGAAGTTGTTGGTGGAGAAGAACATTTTCTTGATCCTGTTATCTTTGAACTTAATAGTTTGCACAACCAACTCAAAGGTTCTCTTCCTTAATTATTCTTCACCCCCAAAACCCTTCTTTTTAGTTCTTCACTTGTTTTTTTTAATTGCCAAAGTTGATGTTGTTAAGCCTAGGGTTTATCAGAAACGGCTTTTCTACCTTCACAAAGTAGAGTTAAAGTCTGCGTATATATTATCCTCGACAAATATTACCAGTGTGATTACACTGGATT